TGAACGTTACATCTATAGTTATAGCAAATACATGTGCTTCAATTTAATTCAATTCACAGATATATCATATATATATATCTAGAGAGAGAGAGAGAGAGAGAGAGAGAGTCACAGTGAGAGAGAGAGTAGATCGATGAGAAGTGAAGATTACAGAGTTAAGTTAGAGCAGATAGTTTTCATGCAATGGCCTTTGTCCTTGTTAAGACACAGTTGGGCTATGCTTTGGCCACTTGCCTGAAAACCCTAATTTTAGCTGCTTGTTATACATACATACATACATATATATATATATATATGGTTTTTATTCATCGATTAGGGTATACAAACTTACCTGTATCCTACTTCTCTTTCTGCGTATATATATCACCTAGAGTAGCACACAGCTATACAGTGTAAGGCTATCTATCTGATAGGTTTCAGTAGAGTAGGGTAGGGTAGGGTAGGGTAGAGTAGAGGTGATAGTGAATAGTCACTCATCGTCTTGAACATCGAGTATGTATGTATGTATGTATCTATATATATGTATGGAATTGATGAGTTAAATTATTTGTATCCCCAATTGAAAGGTGCTCCTGAGTTATAACAACTACTAATCAATACCAATAACTTAGCCGACCAAGTCAATATCATACTGATTCGATGAGATCAATATATACAATAGAAAGTGACTAGCATATGGTGGGATATGAATAAATATATGTTGATCCAGTCAAATCAGCACAAAATCTATAATTTATTAAAAGAAATGTTGTCGGTAAAAAAAACTAGTAACAATAAATAATTATGGATTCAAAAAATAATTTCAATTACGCTCATGTATTTTATATTTGTAATATTACATCACAAATCTCTCTTTTTTTTTTTTTTCTTTTTTTTTTTTTAATGCAAAATCTGCACACAATATCTATTTACATCACACAAAAAGTCTATTTTCTATTATGCTCTTAAAAGTATTTTAAAAGATATCTAAACACATACTCCCTCCGTCCAAGCTAAAATTATACATTTACTTTTGGCGCAAAAATTAAGAAATAATAGTATTTTAATTATAGTGTAGGTAAAAGTAGTGAAATGATATTTTTGTCCTTACTTTTTTTGGTATAAAAGTAACGATGTGATATAAAGTATGAGTATTTGTGGAAAGAATGGGGTATTTAATTAAATGGTTACTTTGAAATTGGACGTCCCAAAACAGAAATATGTATACTTTCTAACTGGACGGAGGGAATATTTAATAACAATTTACAGAGCATATCAAAATAAAAAATAAAAATACCTAAAAAAAAAAAGATGTTAGAAATTCAGATCTCTCCATATTCTATTAACTTGAGTTTCAATTTAAACTTTTTACCATAGAATCCTCAAGATTTTCTATAACCATAGTACTCCCTCCGTCCCAAACACTCTGCAACATTTCCTTTTTAGTATGTTCCAAACACCTTACAGTATTTTCGAAAATAATTAATTATATTTAATCTCTATCCCACATTCTATCCCCTCACATCATCCAAATAAAAAAATAAAATATATATTTCTCTCTCCACCACATCACCTAATTTCTAAATTATCCACTTAATACTACCCACCTAAAAACCCGTGCCAAAAATAAATATTGCACCTTGTTTGGAATAGAGGGAGTACTATTTTATTATCTTATAAAACCTATGACATTATAAAATAACAATCAAACTAAAACCCATCTACTCCTTCCGTCTCAATACAATACTCTTGTTTATCATTTTTGTCCGCCTCAAAATAATAGTCTTATTTCTATAAATAACCATATCACCATAAAACTACTCATACTTTTTCATTTTTGTTATACAATTGTCACTACTTTTTACATTAATATATTCACAAGAGTAAAAAAGTTTTTTATTCATACTTTTTTACTAACTATTAATATTATATCAATCTTTTTAAAATCTTGTGCCTAACTCAATTAAGACTATATTTATGGAAGGAAGGAGCAGCAAATTAATGTTAGGATGAATTAATATGAAAGAATAATTAGTTGGTTTTCTGAGCAGATGTAAAAACCATCAACTGTGAGATTAGATGAGTGGTGCTTGTCATATCACCAATCATGCACCAGCTTTTCATATTATACATACATATATATATATATATAATTGTATATAATTGTGTATGTAGTGTGTGTGTCTTTTCAGGAAGATTGAAACATGGCTGAAGCAATCACTACCAGGTTTGTCTTCATCTGTATTTTCAGGAAACTGATTGATTAATTGTACCTACTACACATCTATATCTAATTCTAATTCTCCGTCCGTCATGCAAACGTGTGCTTATTTGATCGGGTATAGGTTTTAATAAAAATGAGTAATAATTATTAATTTTTTTTTATAGTAAAAAACAGTACAAAAGTAGAATAATTTTTTACTTAAAAAGGAAATGATAATATTTTTCGATGACAACCGAAAAAGGAAAGTGAGCATAGATTTGAATGACGAATGGAGTATTACCTCCGTGCAGGTTGCAAGGTTGTCGTTTATTTTTTGTACGTAGTTTTTTAATGTTAGTATTATAATGGATTATAGTGAAAAAGACGAAAATACCCCTATTAGTATTGTGTAATATAAAAGTAGTGGCATTTGTGTAATATAGTGTAAGTTGGAAATGTATTTATTATGTTAGACAAGTAGTACAATTATTAAATTAAGAAATGATAGCCTTATTTTAAGACGGATAAAAATGAAAAATGACAACCTTTCGATGAAAATGAGAGAGCAGGATTGTTTTCTTTCTTTCTTTGAGTTGTTAAGCAAGAAAATTAAAAATTACAGCCACCATTCATTTACTATATACTCACTGCAACATCTGCTACTAACTAACTACTTATAACTAGGATCACAAATTTCACACTTTGGGTGATTTTATTTATGGGAATTTGGTTGAGTTTTAAATAGAAAAATTTTGAATTGAAACAGTTGTTTGATACGATATAAATATGTATTATATAATATTTTGAACATAAAATTATATTTTAGTGTAATATAATAAATAAAAAATAGGTGTTCGATTTGATAGTTTTGAGAAAAAAATATTTGAAATAGTAAAATAAAAAACCAAATTTCACAAATAAACACACTCTTCGTAAACCCAAGTTAATTCTTTTACTATATATATATATATATATCACATTCAATTTTCCTCTCTTTCCATAAATATATCACTTCAGTTTGAGTTTTGACGACTGAGTCAAATCAACATTGTATTGATTTAATCTGATCAACACATATAATCTTAACTATTTAATAAAATATGATATAATTCAATATAACATATAGTTTCATACATCACAATGTATTATTGATTTCAACATAACATAAAATATAAAACTTCAGCACATACTTTTATATGACACAATATTATGTTGTGCTATATAGAATATGTGCATGCCTTGATGATATGTATTTTTTTTTATTTTATATATTATATTAAAAATCAATTTTACATTAAAAATATCACATCAATATTTATTTATTTCACATAATATTCATACAATATTTTGTTGTTAATTAATGCAATTGATATGCACAAACAAACATGCCTAAGAGTAATGGGCCTTCAAATGACAATTGCAAGGCCCACTTCCTACTAATAGCATGTAGTCCCCAATTTGTGCAAGCCCAAGAAAACTTTGGGTTTGATTGAAATTTCGATTTAAATATTAATTTGATATGATATTTTGTTAGAAAAATTAATTTATTTTTATTAAAAATTGTATAAAATTGAATAATGAATTTATGTTTAAAACATAAACCAAACATACCCTTCAATTTTAGTACCCAAAAATTAAATTGCCTTCCTATTTTGTACAAGACTCCACTATTTAAGTTTAGTTTGATTTGCATAAGAATGAATTTTATTTATTATTGCATTTTTTTTTTGTCTAAATGTCGAAATATTATTTTCCTCTACACTACAAAAAAAAAAAAAAAAATATTTGTAATAGAATTCTGTCACTAAAGTTCACGTAGCTAACGTAATTTCATTCTTAATTCCGTCTCTAATGTCATTAGTAACGGAAAAAATAGATTTAGTGACAAAAAAGTTGTTATAAAAATGATTTTTTCTCCGTCTCTAAACGCCAATTCCCTTGGTTTGTTTGGTTAGTATTTTAGTTTGAACTATTCTTTTAATATGGGGTACGAGAAATTTTGTTAATTATAAAATAAATAATATTTTGTGTCGATTGTTGATTATGTGAAAGAATAAAATATACTTCTTCCGTCCACTAGAAATAGCCTATTTGAGTACGGCATGGAGTTTAGGAAAACTGAATATTTTATTGAAAAAGTAACAGATAACTGAGGGTATTTTTAGAAATTTAGTTAGAAATGAAAGTAAATAAAGAGATAATGTAATAAATTAGTGGTATTTATTGTAAATAAGTATTGAATGAAAAATAATAATTAAATGTTGATTTGTTGACATTGTCAAAATTAGTAATGTGATAAATTTAACGGATCGACTAAAAAGGAAAATAAAAATAAATTTGACAGAAGGAGCTAGTCTTACATATTTTGACATTTTTGCCTTTTGATTTTATGTATAAAAAAATTGTATATGTAATAATACTCTTGTAATTTAAGTATAAATTAAAAATATTTTATTATTAATGTAGAATTACTTTTAAACAAGCAAAAGTCGTAAAAACATAGTTTGAATTGAGATGGTGAAAGTATGTCAATACAATATATATATATATATACATAATAAGAAGTGACGAATAGATAATAATAATCTATACAATACATACATTTGATTTTGGCACGGATTTTAGGTGGGTAGTATTAAGTAGAATAATTTAGAAATTAGGTGATGTGATGGAGAGAGAAATATATATTTTATTTTTTTGATTTGGATGATATAAGGGGATAAAGTGATGGGGTAGAGATTAAGTATAATTAATTATTTCCTATTTTGGAAATATTGCAGGATGTTTGGACATATTAAAAAAGAAATGTTGCAGAGTGTTTGACGGAGAGAGTATTAATTATGATTAATTAAATTAATCCTATAATCATCTACTAAACAGAGGAACTATTTTGCAAGTTCTACAAATTTGCATTTCAGGACATATATTTAGCACCACCACAAAAACTCCCCCTATTACTCCATCTATTTTTCAGACAGACCTAAGAAAACGAAGGCCATGAATAAACCTTAACAAGACGACAACAATGGCGACGAACGATGAAGAAGAAGAAGAAGAAGAATACAAACAAAGAAACTAGTCCAAGGATGTCCTGGAATCAAGCCAAGAAACAATGTCAGCAAGAACAGTTAGAATTCTGTCATCAGGTTCTCCCTCAAGAATGCAATGGAATCCTCCTTCGTAAATCTTCAACGTTTTGTCGTTGCTCGAAGCCTTCTCGTATAGAAACCGGCTCACCTGCGGATCCGTCACTCTATCCGCCGCTCCGTGGAGGATAAGCATAGGCGACGCCACCTGCGATTTCAAAATCCACAATTCGCAGCCATTTCTTACTTCGAAATTTAGGGTGTTTTTCTTTAAAGTTTGGATTTTGATTTAAAATTTTGAAATAAATCAGCGTTTGAAGTTATATAAATAGGTGTTTGCTTTAATGATTTTGAGAAAGACAAAAAAAATTAATGAATAGTGCAATATCAAAATACTACATCTGTCCAGCCTAAAGGTATACGATCTATTTTTGGCGCAGAATAGTTAAAATAGTGTAAATTTTACCTTTGTTTTTGGTAAAAAAGTAACGATACAATGATAAAGTATAAGTATTTATATAAAACAATGGGGTTATAATTACGAAAAAAAATGTATACCTTAACGCAAAACAGATGAAATAGAAATATGTACTTCCTCGGTTCAGGAAATTTAGCCCATTTGAGCTTCGTACGCGAATTAAAGAAAAATAAATATTTTATTAAAAAATGTAGAAAAAGTAAAAGAGTTATTGAGGGTATTTTTGAAATTTAATTAAAAATTAAAGAGAATTGAGAGAAAATGTAATAAAGTGAGTAATATTTCTTGTAAATAAATGTTGAATGAAGGGTAATAATTAGATATTTACTTTTCCAAATATAATAATGAGATAAATTTAACGGACCGAAGAAAAAGGAAAGTGAAAATACATTTGGCGGACAGAGGGAGTATATGTTAAAGCGGGAGTGCACTTTTTCCTTTTAAAAAATATCACATCCGATATTATTTTTTTCAAAAACCCAAACATCGAAACTCAATCCAAACGTTAAAGAAACAAATCCTCAATGTTCGAAAAAAACCAAAACACTTCACTAACCTTGTCTACTTGCGATTCGATGTACTTAGTTGCATTCAAGAGCTCCACGGCCGTCCTGAGTCTCGTCTGGTCCGAGTAGCTGATCACATTATACGGAGCCTACAAAAATACGATATCCCTCAACAGTTTCCGAACTTTCTAAAAGTAGACAGAAAAAAATTTCTCCGAACCATTTGCTTCTTCCTCGATTCTCTGAAAGCCAAATCAGCTAAGTCTTTCTGCGGGACGAGCTTTGCTTGTGGCATGAGATTGGATAATAATATAAGCACCTTTTGGAGCGGGACTGGCGGTGACATTTCCTTCGAAATCTACATATCAAAATTGAAAATCGGGGATACGGTTATAAATTCAGTTTACTAATTGTGAAACGGTTAATTATTCGAATGTGTCAACAAAATCATTTTCTTATTTCTCCTAATAGTTCTAACAAGTGACATAACCAATCGTAAAACATCGGAGGGCCAAAGTATCGATTATTTTTCATCCATTAACATTGTCTTTTTTTGATTTGTCTCAGCACAGCCGGTTAAAAAACAAAAAGAAAAAAAATGGGAAGATTTAACTAAATTTCAACAAAATTATAAAATTTAATATATTTTACTACAAAAAAATTAAAATGTTAAAAGTGTAAATTAACAAATGGGCAAAATTTTTATTATTTTTTATACTATAAAATAAAATTTAGGAGAGGAGCAAATTAATAAAAAAAATACGTAATTTTATTATTTTTTACACAAAAAAATACATAAATTTTGGGGACCTGGATCAGCTGCCCGTAGCCCCTATGTAAGTCTGTCCATGGTTCTAATAATAATCCTTTTTTGGCGCACAAACAACGATGGCACGGCGCTTGTTCGATAAAATGGACAAAGATCGAAACATATTTACCTTACACATCGGAGCAACAAGCACTATTCCGTCCCACTCATTCGGCGCCTTTAGAAGTGCTTTGAGAGCGATCGCTCCGCCCATCGATTGCCCGAATATGAAGAACGGAAGCCCTCGGATCTCCGGCCTACCTACATACAAAAGCATAAATGTATCCACACTTGACGTATTTTTTTTTTTTTTTATAAAAAACACTCGAGAAATTCTCACTTTTCATTAGGATAAATTGCTCGATGACATTGTCGACTACGCCGTCAAAAGAAGGAACATAGCCGTGCAATCCTTCTGAGAGGCCAAAGCCCGGATGATCGATGGCGTAGACGCCATAGCCGGAGGAAGCAATATGCTTCGCAATGCCTATAAATACATACGAACTTTGATTTAATACGAAAAAATATATATTTAAACAACAGTTAAAACGATCTGAGGTTAATATTACACAAGAAGATTAAAAAAAAAAAAAAAGAACCTTCGAAGAAAAATGTGCATGTATCGCCGTAACCATGGCAAAAACACAAAGCGCCTTTGATTCGGACGCCGGGCATCGGCAACCAGCTCTTGCAGAAAATTTCTTGCCCATTTGAATTAATTTCGTACCACTGAAAGCCACATAACAACAGAGTGTGTACACTTAGGGTGTGTTCGTCTTGGGCGGATTTCTTCGAATTTCTACTGCTCGTAAAATTTTTTCACTCGAAAACATCAAATCAAATATTTATTTTTTATTTTTTTATATTATACTAAAAATTAATTTTACATTCAAAACATTACGTCAACACCTATTTATATCCCATCATACAACTATTTCAATTAAAAAAATTTACTATTTAAATCTCAACTAAAAAACCAAACTCCCAAACAAACACACCCTTAAGCAAAAACACATAAAAAAACATCATTCTATAAAATACTTTAACGATTGAATGTGTCTCGACAAAACTATAAACACTAAACAATCACGAAAAGTCAATTTTTGCAGGTATAACCGATATGTAACTACGAATTTTATACGAAATAATGCATCTCTTCTCAAAAGAGCCAAAATTCAAATCAACAATTCATCGATTCCCAAAAGTCATTTTTTAGTTCCCGTCTTATAATTCGATTTCGTTCGATTACAAAAAACTACGAGTGTGTTTGTCTTTGTTTTTAAAACAACACGATTCACCAAAAACATTATTCAAAATATACAACATATATACCTAACAATAACAAAAACATACAAAAAAAATAATTTCTATCGTACTTTCACAATTCTCCATACCGCAACAAAAACCGCTACAATTATAAAAGCTAAACAAAAATACTCTATTACTTGTAGTTTACTATTACTATTTTTCTACCAAAAACAAAAAGAATTAGTAAATTATACCATAGTTGATTTCCTGTCAAAATACAACTTTTGAAAAGTATAATAAAATTGATTCATTTCATTTATTTCAAAATTGAATTATCCCTCCCATATTCAATCATTTGTTCCCATAGAATTAATAAACAAATTCTCTATAAATATTATTAAAAAAATAAAAATAAAAAACAAATATACACATACGTCACTATAATATACTCTCTATTAAAAAAAAATAAAATTAATCGTTCAATAAAAAATATTAATTTTTATATTATCAAAACAGTTTGATACAAAAATAATTCATCTAAAAAAGTAAAATAATAAATAAACTATTTAACTAAAAATATTAATTTTTATATTACAAAAAAAATTTGACACAAAAATAATTCATCTAAAAAGTGAAGAGACTGATAAATCCATATTTCCTAACAATAATTACTGCATAAGAAACACTCCTGAAAAAGCACAAAAATGGTGAATTCTTTTAACCCATCGCACAAATCAAAATTACTTACCTCGTCTGTTCTGATCCCGGCCGGAGCCATCTGGCCAACACCAAAATTAAAAATAAAATAAAATTAAATTACTGAATAATTAAATAATTACAAAAACACGACGACGATCTGTGGAACAACAATTACCTTAAAGAGAATATGATCGAGCTGAAGCTGAATATTCGAAAAGGCTGATCTGACCCTTCGACGGGCAGGAGCGTGGTCCAGATTCTGCGACGCGATGGAGTTCAGCTCGTCGCTCAATCCTTCGATTTTAGGTTTTTTCTGGGCGAATATTCTCCTCGAAAATGTGAAAGGAATCGGTTCGCGGCGGAGAAGAAAGGGGCGGAAGAGATTCCGGCGGGCGAGGGGGGACGCCGGCGGCGAATTTGGCCGGAAAGTTGAGGATCGAGAAAGATCCATTGGTTTGGTTGGGATTTTAGTGGAGAAGAAAGACGGTTTTCTTTTTTACAATTATTGGTCAAATTGTATTCTGAAAACGTGATTCGCCACTTTGATTCTACTTTTTTTAAGCACAATAGAGACATTTATATTGGACAGACATACAAAGGACATAAATAATTAAATAAATAAATAAAACTATTTTTGCGTTGAGTTTTTTTTTTTATTATTATTATTTTATTTTAACATACGCATTAATTATATTATAATACTCTCTCAGTCTACAAATTAATATTCTATTTTTTTATTTGGGATTTTATTTTATTTTTTAAACACAAATTTTATATTTTTACCCTTCGTTCATTTATTACTTTTAATCTCTACCACACAATTAAGGACAAATTTATCAATTCATAACAAAAATACAATCACCTAAAAAACCGTGCAAATATACTTTAGGACAATAGAAATTGGACCGAATGAGTAAAATATTGTTATTTTTTAATTTATTATAAATTTTGAAATTTTGAATTAAGACAAAAAAATAAATAAATAAATAAAGTAATATGTATAATAAATTTATATTTATTGAGTGTGATGTACTTTATATAATTACGATGAATAATATTATTTTATCAATTTTAATTACATGTTTATTAAAGTGTCTAATGCGTAGTTAGAGATTATTAGTCTTTCATTTCTAAATAGAATTAAATAATACTATCTTCGTCCCTTAACAATTTATTCATTTTTCTATTTTGGTTCGTTCCATAACAAAGTATCAATTTTTTTTAATAATTGTACTATCTACCTAACATTATATTACACAAATGTCATTACATTTATATCATACAATACTAATAAGGTTAATTTAGTATTTTTACCTTTATTTATACTTTATCCTAATATTTATAAAATTTTGTGCAAAAAATAAATGAATATATAGACATGGGACGGAGAGAGTACAAAGCAATGTTAATATTTGAAAGACTATTTTACCTTTTAGTAATAGCTAACTTGATACTACCTCCGTTCAACAATAATACTATTTTTTTTTTGTACGTAAATTTTTAAATATTAGTATTATATTGGCTTCTAGTTAAAAAAAAGAAGATAAAATAACCCCTATTCTTATAGTGTAATATAAAAATAATAATATTTGTATAAATATATTTTAATATGTTGTACAATTACTAAATTAATAAATAATACCTTTATTTTGGGACGAAGAAAGATAAAAAATAATATCCTTCTTAATGAGACGGAGAAAATATTTATTTTATCATATAATTCCAAATATTTTAGAAAAAAATTTATAATCTTATACAATAATCCATTAAAATAAATATGGTATTATTTCATACATTATAATCTTATCATATAAAATAAATGGACCTTTATATGTTGCATTTATATTAAGTAGTTTTATTAATTTATATTTCATATATTGTTAGTTAATAATTTCATATTATCTTGTTTTATTAATTTATATTTCATATATTTCTATTTTTATTCTCACTTATTATTTAGTTATTTCAACTAAATAATACTTTCTAGTGAGTAGCTAGTATTAAATGAAATAATTTTAAAATAAAGTAATGTAATAAACAATAAATATATATACATATATTTTTATTTGAGTTATTCGATCAGATAAAATATATGATAAATATTAAATATATTTAATTATTTTCTATTTTATAAATATTGGAAGATTTTTGAAATGGACAGAAAAAAAGTTATTGCTAGATGAACGGAAGGAAAATAGTAATATTTTTTATTTATTATAATCTACAATCACATTTAATTATTAATTTATTATTAATTTTATTATACTTTAACAATATATCAATTTTTCTATTTTGGTTTATCATGACAAAGTATCCATTTGCTTTTTAGTAATTGTATTTTTTACTAACATTAAAATACTTTTACAAATTGCAATATATTACAATAAGTGTCATTATTTTTATATCACATAATACTAATAAGGTCATTTTAGTTTTTTTTCTACTTTTTTAATGCCATATCCCAATATAATACTTATATTTGTAAAACTCCGTGAAAAAAATAAACAGATATATAGATAAGGGACGAAAGGAGTATTTATTAATGGTTTGTTTCTTTAGATCAATTCTCCCAAATTTTCTTATTTGAAATTTGCATTTTTTAAAAAAGAAATTAATTTTTTTTCTCTTATCAAATATTATTTTAATATCAAAATCAAACTAAAATTTTTCAGGCAAAATAAACACACCCAAAAATATAATTACATTAGCTATTTTTTATTTAAAACTTTTTTTTATATTCAAAATAATACTGAGTATCCGCACATGGCCTTATATCTATAGTTTATGAAACCATGTGAATATTATTTTTTTTGATCCGATTATTTTTTATTTTATTTTTATGACAATGGTCGTCACAACCGACCGTGAGTACGCGGATTTGGACTTACGTAGTGGAAGTATCACTCAGGTGTCCGACTCCCTGGAGTAGGTAAGGAAATAAGTTGGTGTTCTCAAGAAATTGGGGGGAGGGGAATGAGAAATAGTTTGATTCTGTTTAGGGTTTATGAGATAAATTTAAATTCAGTGAAGATTTGGGCGAATTTATCCATCCCTTGTCCGAATTGAGGATAAGATTCGAGATTAATCCAATTTCTTCGTCAAAATAGCGAAGTTAGGTTTAGATTTGTTGGGTGAAGTTCCTCTTGTTCTTGAACGAAACCTAATTTCATTCATTCGATCATGTAAGTCTCCGAAACATCTCCGACAGATCCAATCGCAGATCATAACGAACGCTGTGGATCACCAAACGCATATCGTAAGCTCGCATTTCTTGATGAGGTGTTCAGAGCTGAAGGAAATCGATTATGCCCGACAAGTGTTCGACCAAATGCCTGACCGAAGGTATGCGTCTCTGTGGAATGTAATGTCGAAAGGATACCTTACGAATGAGAGATATGTCGAAGTGATGATTTTATTGCGTGATATGATGAAGGAGAATGTGAAGCCTAATTGCTATACACTGCCTGTGATTTTAAAATCGTGTTGCAGAATTTTGGGGTTGAGGGAAGGGGAAGAAGTTCATTGTCTTGCTGTTAAAAATGGTTTCAAGGCGAATACGTACGTCGCGACGAGTTTGATCGAGCTTTATTCGGGCGCGGGATGTGTCGAATGTGCGTATAAAGTGTTCCTCGAAATGGTTGTTAGGAATGTGGTTTCTTGGACTGCAATGGTGAATGGATTTGTCGGAAATGACGATTTGGTTAGGGCGAGGGAGCTTTTTGATTTAGCACCGGAGCGCGACGTTGTTTTGTGGAATAGAATGGTTACGGCGTATGCGGCGCGCGGAGATATGATCGAGGCGAGGAATCTTTTTGATGCGATGCCGGGGAAGGATTTGATGGCGTGGAACACGTTGTTGAATGGTTACGCCGGGAATGGGGATGTCGAGGGGTGTAAGAATTTGTTCGAGTCGATGAGGGAGAGGAATGTGTTTTCTTGGAATGCCGTGATCGGAGGATTTGCTCGTAAGGGATGTTTTGTCGAAGTTCTTGACATGTTCGAGAGAATGTTGAAAGAGGCGAGCGTCGAGCCTAACGACGCGACGGTCGTAACCGTTTTGACGTCGTGCGCGAGGCTTGGCGCTCTCGAGTTTGGCGAACGGGTGCACGATTACGCCGACGGGAAAGGGCTCGGGAAAAACATTTACGTTTGCAACGGTTTGGTCGACATGTACGCAAAATGTGGCGCGATGGATCGCGCAGTCGACGTTTTCGAGAAAATGGCGAAGAGGGATTTGATATCGTGGAATACGGCGATCAATGCCTTGGCGGTGCACGGCGACGGCGGGAATGCGCTGAGGCTTTTCGACGAGATGAAAATTGTCGGGGAAAGACCCGACGGCGTCACATTTATCGGGATTCTTTGTGCGTGTTCGCATATGGGTTTGGTTAAAGACGGGTTGGATCATTTTCGATCGATGACAAGCGATTATTCGATCGAGCCACGGATCGAGCATTATGGGTGCGTCGTCGATCTCTTGGCTCGAAACGGGCTTTTGCGCGAGGCGTTCGATTTCGTTCGTAATTTGCCGTTCGAAGCAGACGGTGTTATATGGACGGCATTGCTCGCAGCGTCGCGGGTACACAAGAAAATCGAATTCGCCGAGGTGGCACTCGAGAAGCTCGTCGAGCTCGACCCAAGGAACCCGGCGAATTACGTAATGCTGTCTAACGTATACGGCGAAGCCCGGAATTGGGGAAAGTTGGCGCGGCTAAAAGTTGCGGTTAGGGACACGGGATCGAAGAAGGTTCCGGGATGGAGCTCGATCGAAACCGTCGATGGCGTCGCCATGTTCTATTCGTTCGACGAACGAAACCCGCAAACCGACGAAATTTTCGGGTTATTGAGAGGATTAACAACGTTGTTAGGGTTGCCAATGTATGAATTTGATCTTGTAGAGGCTTAGATGAGAACGTAAATTTTGTTCATCAAGAACACATTTGGGCCGGATTTTACCGTTATGTGTTTGAGCCGGCCCATTAAGGAAATGGTAGGCGTGGTGAGGCCCAATTGTGGCCCATTAAGGATTTTCTGGGTGTAATATACTTTGTCCACAATAAATATCTGCATTTTAGCGCAATATTGACAAGATATCATAGAATATTAGACAATACACAATACGAATATACGATGATGTACAATATATAATTTATATTAATATTATAATTCAAATGTCTATACATAAATTAACAACATATATTATCATTAATTTCAACACATAATATATGTTCATACAACAAATTTATAAATATGAATAAATAACATATATTTTCGAATAGCATATACTCAGTTCTATTTACAAACATTTGTTGTTATTAATTAGTCATTCTGTCTCATATTGGATGTCCTAGTTACAGTCGATATGAGAATTTAAAATAAATATAATTACTAGATAATTAAAAGTATATTAGTGAAAATAATTAATTTATAAAATAAATACACTATTCATTCAATTTATTTCCCAAAAGCATCAAATTAAATACCTATTTTTCATTTTTTATATTATACTAAAAATTAATTTTACATTCAAAACATCACACCAACACTTGTTTATATCACATCATACAACTATTCAAATTCAAAATTTTTACTATTCAAATCTCAACTCAAAATCCAAACCCCAAACAAACACACCCTTAAGATTAAATTAACTAATTAATTTAATTAAAATTAAAAAATAATTAAATTAGAAAATTTAAAATAAGTGTGATCATTTTTAAAAAAAAAAAGTGACATAAAATATGAAACATATGGAAACCACAACGTGAACATGGTAAATGAGATGGAAGAAATAGTTTCTATGTGCGGCTTAAAAAATCAGCATAATTTTCTTCGACAATAAGTAGTCAATCTATGTTTAAATATATATATATATAATTATTATTTATTAACATATATACTAATAAGCCCTCACAAATTAGGGATTGTAATTTTTCTTACGATAAACAATTTGTTTACAATTTTAATATATTTACTTTAATACTTATATATATTATTAATTTACTATAATATTACATGTGTATATATATATAAATATATATTTATGAAACCCTACAAATTAGGGGTCATCTGCACGTGCTAACAGTTGGCTCTGATATATATATATATATATATACTATCTTTTGAAATTTTAATGAAGAAATTTTGAAAATTTTTGAATTTATATATAAAAAATGTATTTAATATAATTTTTCTGTTCGGACTTTTTAAGTCATTATATTCGAATACGAAGACTAAAAAAATAATATTTTAATATAAAAGTAAGTTAAATAAAAAATAGGTATTATACAACATTTATTAATAAAATTATAAATTAAGGAGAAAAATAATCATAAATTAATTATTATTTATTAAAATATAGCTAATAAAATTATAAATAAATAAAATTATATATTATAAATAAATTATCTATAGCTAAAAAAAATTAACATAATTATCTCGAATGAAAAAGATAATTTTTTTAAAATGAAATATATATTTAATGTACTTCTAGAAAGAGAATATTACAATATGAATACTACTAAATTTTTAAAAATACCATTCCATCCATTTTACAAAAAAAAAAATGTTTACTTTTTTTTATTTCGTATCGTTTCACATAATTTATTTATTTATTTTTTTTAAAAAAATTAATTATATATTTTTATTATATTTTAAATTTTATAATTTATAATTTATAATTATTAATTAAATTATTTAGTTAATTTAATTTTAATATATAATTATTTTTATTAATAAAATTTTTAATTATATTTTATTTAAATTCTTATATCTATAAGAAATATTCTTTATAATATAAGGTTAGCTTTTGGTTTATGGGGTCAATGACAATGATGGTTCTGATGAGAAAAAAAGTGTTTCTGAATTGGAAGAAATGTGAACCGAAATAGCTGCAAATTGGCATATCATTCATTTATATACATAAAAATAAAATAAAATAAAATAACAATGGCATATTAATTTGTCACGTGAAATGAAAGTTGTAATAATATCGTTCCCAAATTGTGTAATCATTGAAAATTGGCCTTTTGACTACTCACATCACATGATATATGAAATATTCATTCCCATTGACACTATTGTAGATTTCCCTTTTTCATTTTGTATGTATTTCTTTTCAAGATAATTAAATGTGTAGTAATTTTGGTGGAAAAAGAAAGTATTTAGGGGAACGTCCAAAGAGTTTTTTTTTTTTTTTTTTTTTTTTTTTTTTTTTTTTATCATCGTGTAGACAAAAATAAAATCGGCTTCTTTTGAAAAATGATTGTGACAAAAGACAGATAGAAGAAGCACATATATCGAGGATATGACGATGCGTACGTTCCACCCGACAATTTAGTTTGGATGTGTATAGGCAAGACTGCTGAATAGATATACCCTAAGCTGAAAGAAGGTTGAGAAACACAGAATCGTTATATTTTATGGCATAATCAGTACGTAAGGTTTGAATAATATAAGAAAACTGCGTATGTATCATTTTAGAAAAGATAATATAAACCGATCGGAATTTCAAAGTGTTGTTTCATAAAGCAAATCTAGTATAATGACTTATACTTATTCATAGATCAAATCGGTATAGGCTCCTAGATATCTAAATGTGCCAAAGAGAAATATTTAAACAACTCAATACACATATGACTTAAAACACTTCATTGATGAGATATCAGAGTTCGTTTGTAAACACATGTCCTAACCTGAGATGTTATTGATAACCAGAATGAAAGAAAAAAACTATAGTCGAAAGAGACAAATGAGGGGAAATTTTTAGGTGACTAAGCTCAAATAATTGATATATTTTCCACCCCATCCCAAGAAGCTAACCTATGTACGTATCCTGAACTTTCACACTTGAAGACGAAAAGATAACAGTAAATTCTTGCTTAACCACCTGACCAACCGAAACAAAATTTCATACTAATTAAATAATGTAATAAATGTCAATAAGAGATAAGAATGATGTTGTATCACCGATATGATTTGTGTGCATATGTGACCCCCTGACAATGTAGATGAAAGGTAAAACCATAGTAGGAATTAAGAAACATAGAAGGACGGAATTTCAAATCGTATGATTACAATAGGCAGAATCAAAATATAAACTGATAGAATTAAGCTATACAACAGAAGAAGCCTATGCTCTATAATAAATTTTTAAAATAAGAATAGATTAGCTCAGTCCTAAGTTGAGTTTAACAAATGTAAGTTTTCAAATAACACAGTACGTACTGTATTATTTAAAACATATGGTGTTTATTTATTTATTTTTATATGCTGACTAGAACCAGCCCCTATAACTAATATTTTCTCCGTCTCAGCTATAGTGTCCATTTTATTGTAGACACGAGAATTTAGGAAGAGTATAATTAGTAAATAATTAAAAATGTATTAGCGAAAAATAATTATAAATTAATATGAAGATAACTAATTAGTTTTATTAAATTAAAAATATATATAATTGAAAAAATTTTAAAATGAGATTAAATTATATAATTTTTTTTTAATAACGAAAGTGACAAAATAAGTAGAACATACATAAAAATGAAAAAAAAAATAAAAATGAACACGATAAGTAGAACAGACATAGTATATATAAATTGTATCTAATAGAAAATTTTGAATACATATATTATATATGTAAGTAAGAGAAAAAAAAATGATAACATGGACCACGGATGAAACTCATTTATATGTTGGAATATCGTATCATATTAAATAATCATTTTTACTTAAAAGAAAGATAAGTTTTGTTTAAACATACTTTTGAAAATTTTGAAGCTATTTATCAACAATATATATTTTTAAAAAACAATAAATCAAATACTGATTTCATCTTACAAAACTATCATATCAAATATTCAACTTTTTATTATTTACAATAATTCTCTAAAATCCCCGTCTAAATAAAGTAATAAACATCGAAAGCATCAAAATAAACTCTAAGACAAATAAGCCCGCCATTGTTTAACATTCGAGCTCTCATAAAACGACCCCTTAGTTCGACATGTCATGTGTAATAGTGTCGTTTGACTATATATGTCATAAAATAGAAAAAGCAAATGACTAAGAAACATCATCCAAATCTTCAAAACTATGTCCTACAAGAATCTTAGAAAGAAGCCAACCCTTTGTGAATGTTATTACATGGTAATGATGAACGTTATATATAGATCATTTCAAGAAATTATCAATTTTGTAACGAAGTTTTTTCGTTTCTAAATTTATTTTTTTCGTTACTAATGATATTAGAGACGAAATTAGAGATGAAATTACATTAGCCACGTGAACTTTAGTAATAAAATTCCGTTACAAATATACTATTTTTTTTAGTGGATATATATATATATATATATAGATAAGTCCATCTTCCCCACAAGTCTTCAATGGAGGTTTTCATTTTATCCCATCATTTGAAAATTTGGAGTTGCTTTATGAATACTACTATTATATTACCCTATCAAATTAAAGGTCACACAATACCCTAATGGAAACCCTCATTTTAATATTGTGTTTTATTTAATTTATTAATTTATTACTTTTATATATGGCACACACTCATAAGTATAAATATTGTAATGAAAATATTGGATTTTGATGAGTCACATTTATCAATAATTGCTTTAGCATCTTTGAATGTTGAAATAATGTGGTTAGAAAGGAAACCCATGATCGTAATCATTAGTTTGATCATGCAAAGTTATATTTTTCATATATTATATTACAACATTCTAACTTTTAAATTAGATATATAATGTGTGATATATATATATATATATTTATTGAAATAAAGTAATGTATTTTAAAAGAATAAAATCAAACTCCAAAATAACACACTCAAAAATTGTTTATTTATATAGTTTGTTCTTTTGGTATATTTATTTTGTTTTATTTGAATAGTAAATTTGATCTGATAAAAAATAATGTACGTTTGTTTATATTCTAACGATACGATTCTTAATCAATATATATTATTATATTCTATCATAAAAAGTTAAAGATCAACATATTATATTATTTTTTATACTATCAATATAATTTTTTATACTTCACATAAAAAATATATCAAACTATAACACT